CATTGTAAGCAAGCTTTATGTGTTGAAACAACCAGTACCGGATCATAGTTCTCAATTGTTTAATTGGTAGCGTAATCTTTCCACTGGGTAAATTTTATACGAATCACAGCTTATTCCAGACAGCAATCGCAAGTATCCTTTTATCGATCAAAAAATCACTCATTACTTTATGTAATACTAACAGATATTATTCATTGTTGAAATCTAAAAAAAATAATTTCAATTAAATTTTATTATAAAAAAATCACTGCATAATTAAAGGTTTGAGATTTTAAATAATTCACCTTAAATATTATAAATTGGGTAAAAACGACATTTCTTATTCAACTATTTACAATTTTTTTACTTACCTTTCCTCTGTTAGTGTTTCTTAAAGAAATTAATAGTGTAATAATCTCATAAAACTAGAAGTTAATTAGTACATTATCGAAAATTAGACAGCAAAATAAAAACCGATTTATATTAACTTAAAAAAGTTTATTAGAAAAACTTTCATTTTAAATATCGAAACTCAACAAAATTCTTATAACAAGACAAAATTTGTGACAGTAATTAGGCTTAGCATCAAATTGAAAACTGAGTCATAGTAAACAAGCATTATTTGTTGAAACAGCCAGTACAGAATTATAGTTCTTAATTATTTAATTAGTAGCGTAATCTTCCCACTGGGTAAATTTTATATGAATCACAGCTAACTCTAGACAGCAATCACAGGTATCCTTTTATCGATCAAATGATCACTCATTACTAGCAGATATTACCCATGGTTGCGCTCTACATGAATTAAAAAATTAATTTCGATTAAATTTTATTACAAAAAATTACTGCATGATTAAAGGCTTGAGATTTTAAATAATTCGCTTTGAATGTTATAAATTGGATAAAAAAGCATTTCTTACCCAGCTAATCAGAATTTTTTTTCTCACCTTTCCTTTGTTAGTATTTCTTAAAGAAATTAACCGTGTTAAACTATAAGATAATTACAACACGATCGAAAATTATATAGCGAAAATTCTGCTTTATTTTTTTGACAACAAATAATGATACCACCAGATGGCACACATCATTTTTAACGATGGGTTCCATCTGGTACCATAGAAACTTGGTGGCAATAAAAAAAATAGCTAAATTTTTAAAAATAAATAACCTTTTCATAATTTTTGACTGCTATTTAGAAAAATCCAAAGGAAAAATAGGACTTCAAGAAATAATCTTTGGGTTTTAGGAAATACAAATTCTCAAATAAGGAAATCGCTTATTTTATTCATACTATAGATTAGCAGAAAGAAAGAATTTTTGTAATGAATATTTTTATTTTCAAGCATCATTACCCCAACTTTTTTTCAATCTTTATTATAAGGCAAATAAATATAACTACAACACGAGCACGCCTATTGCTTAAGACAGAATTAATATCTAAAATAATGATTTCAATTTGAAGATTCAAGAGAATTTTGAAACTCCAAATAATATATTGCATGACTTTGTTTCAAAAAATTTAATTTTACTAAAAATTATTTTTAGGGAGCATACTCAGGTAAATTCTATTTAATAAAATTTTTAAAATTTTATACAATTTGAACTATATATATTTATAATTAGAGGTTTTCTTTAAAAAGTATTCAAATTTTATAAAGTTCCTAGGTATGATAATATTTCAAATATTCATATGATAATGTTTTTAATGTTTCAAGTTCTGGCCGATTGTAAGAGATTGAGAAATTAATTTTAACTCAATTTAGAACATTCACATAACAAAATCACTCGTTCAAATTATATTTTTTAAAACAATATCTTATTAAAAAAAATCATGATACAAATTATCTAAAATAATTTTTATTAAAGGTAAAATAACAATCATAAATATTTTTCGGAAATGATTTGTTTGACTATTTTCATAAACAGTTTTTGTTTTCTTTTTAAAAATGTTGATGAATAATGTTATTGATTGATGATAATTAAATGTTAAAGTTTATTAAATTTGTGTTTATATCTGTACTAAAAAAATCTTTAACAAAACTCTTCTCAATTTTGTAGTTATCAAATAGTTGTCCTTAGTTTTTAATTGTACAGTGATTTGTTTTTAATTATTTTCAGGTAAATGATTTATTTTAAGGCATTATATACCTAACGGCAAAAGTCAATTTCTTATGTTAGCAAATCCGAAGAAAGCAACGAAATTGTTATGACAAAGAATATCGATGTACAGTGTGCAAAAAAATATTATATATATATATATTAGAGTAAATATTGTGTGTGTGTGTGTGTGCAAAAAGGATGGTATTTTGCAGGAAATTATAATAGAAAATTTTTTATTATTATTTGTATTTACTTTTAAATTGTATTCTTTACTATTTGTAATGCAATTGAATATAATTTTCTAAGTATGCATAAAACAAATAAAAATTTGGAAAAATTTTATTGTTATTATTTATTGTTATTCTCAATTATTAGTATAAAAAATTCCCTCCTAAGATTAGGTTACATAATTCAGTTTTATAATTCGTAAAAACTTTATTATAAAATTTTTTTAGATACATGAGGCAATGATTAACAGTAACGTATATAAATAAATGGATGACAAAAAGATGTGTAACTTTGGAGAAATTTGCTATTATGATAATCAAACCTCCCATATGAATTAATTTATTCATAATTAAATGATTTAATCAATCTTTGCTTAAATCCAACCTTAATAATAAAATGTGTCATGTTTATATTATGATCTACTGTTATATAGTTTACTAATAAACTGTTTTTTTTAATTCTGATTCATTGTTTAATTTTTTTTTTCATTTATTGAAAGGTTTTATGAAATAATATTCCTTCAACAACTGTAAGAAATCAAACGGCACCAAATTTTTTACTTCAATTGTTTTTTATCATTTTATGATGTTTAAAATTATTTTTTTTTAATAATTAAAAGTTCAAACATCAATCAGATATAACATGAAATCCCCATGAAAATATCAAGAAGATCTGAAAGTAGATTTAATCTCTTGACTTGTGAACTTTCAGATATCAAGTTAAAAATTAAATCATAAAAATAAAATTTTAAATTTTTATAATAAACTATTTTTATTCATATAAAAAGGTGTTTCATATTATTTTACGCAAAACAAATTATCAAAACAAATTTCAATTTTATCTTGACACCGCTTTTATCTTTTCAAACACGTGACCTGAATATTTTTTTTATTTTTCCACATTAAATATTAGATTAAGAAAGAGGTTTATCTTTCTGGCTATTTGCATGATAGAAATAACTTCCGATAACAAAAAAATATTCATTGGACTTCAGTTTATGAATTATCAGGAATAAAATTCAAAATGTTGCTGATAATAACATCCTGATAAAAACAAATTGTTTTTAATGTAGAAGAGTTAGTTTCATTTATATTCATCTATTCCTGTTCCCAGAAGTAGAAATTCTGATTCTTTTTTTTTAATTTATGTTTTTATACTGTCATGCAAATACTTTAACAAAAAACGTAATTGATAAATAATTCAGGGATACGACGATAATTTTTTAGTCGCAATCTTGTAGTTTGAATAGAGCATTTAAAAATTAAAGAAAGTGTTCTAACATTCGACTTTGTGTAACAAATTAATTTATTTTCTAATTCAAGATATTTGACCCTTACTGACTGCACAGATTTGTGGCAAGATTAACATCAAATAAAGTGCAATACAGCGGCCATAGTACACTATACCACAAAAGACAATGAGGGATCAGTATTCCCTTTATTACTTCTAAAGTTAACTGGTTCACATTATAATGTCTCCTATAGATCTATAACGGCTTCAAGAAGAGGGCCACTTTCAAATTCATGGGAACACATGACAATTTTATTTACAAGCACTAATATATATATAGTTGCTCTTGCTCACACAACTCTGTATTATTATAATTTATTATTTACAAAAAATTAAATTTAAAAATTTAAATTTGATTCACAAATGCACGATTAAATTACAGTTGACTCCAAGGTCAGAGTTGTCGAGTCTACGTCGAATCTAAAACACGTAGTCTGCGGCAGACTTTAATTATCACACGGCATGATATACAAAGGGTTCACTTTGGAAACACGCAGAATCTTCGGCTTATTCAGTCACTAGAAAAAAAAAAGAAAAAGAATACTTCTGATCGACTCGTCGCAGAACACTCTCCCTTCTTCACCAAAAACCTCTCTAGGACAATCTATCAAGAGAGGGGTCAGCTTCCCTCACTTCTCATTGGAATAGACATTTCTCTGATCGTGGTTTATTCCCAATCTTTATGGAACAACTCATGGTATAGTTCATATTCAATCTGTAGTTGTTTTAGCCAGTGAAATTCTAACAGACATTCGCTAATTTCCTGAGTCTCATTACTCTTGATACCGAATATCTGCTATCAGTTTTGAATGGCAGGTTGTTCACATTAGTTCAACATTCATAGCATATATAACTACTAACTGCATAATATAATTACTCACAATTCTGCTTGTCTTCTGTTAAAGTTAAGTGATAGTATTTTATTATATGCTTGTCACATAACATGCATGGTTCTCGTTAGATCACCGAAGTCAAGCATCATTGGGCGCGGTCAGTACTTGGGTGGGTGACCACCTGGGAACACTGCGTGCCGTTGGCAATTTGGGACCTGAATGGCCGAGTGTCTAGCGCTCTGGCGCTCGGTGCCACAGGTTTCGGGTTCGAATCCCGGCGGTGCCATGGATGTTTGTAGTGGTTCGGAATCCACTTTAAGCCGTAGGTCCCGGTCTCCCATGACTATAAAAGCGACACGGAGCAAAAGTCAGGCTTCTACCTACGGGTGCTCCATCACAACAGAAGCTGCTTCCTTCCCCTTCAATCATGAGTCCATATGGGCTCGTGGGCTTGGCCAGCCAAGTGGGATAAGAAACAACAATAAACAACAACAACATAACATACATTCTTCTCTTTTGGGAATGAAATGCCGAAACTCTTCTCGTGAGAAGAATATACTACAACATGTATTTCATTTCAGAAAAACCACAAATAAAAGATACGCAAGTTATACATGAAAAACCAACAACTTTTCATTTAAAAAAAACGTATATATTATTGTGGACTATCAATTGAATTAAGCATATATAAGTAGTGATAGATTATTTAACACTATATGAATAAAACTGGTGTTTCGGTTCTTATTTCCAAATTTAATTTGTTATTAAAAAATGTTTATCAAATGTTATTATCAATTATTAAATTATTAAGTATTGTTTATCAATATCTGTATTAAATACATAACATACAAAAATATAAATTATAAAAGTATGTGACGTGTCGCAAAACTTGTTTCTAAACTTCTATTCATATATTTAAAGATAACTTGATAATAAATTTTTAATACGCTTGCTTACATATCTGACTAAATAGTTTACTTCAATAAAGTTCCAAATCAGAGCATATTTAAAATAAAATTAGTACAGCTACAGATCATAAAATAGGGCCTGATGTCCGAATGGCTAGCGCTCTGGCGTTCGGTACCACAGGTATCGGGTTCAAATCCCGGCTTTGCCCATGGGTGTTGTAGTGGTTCGGAATCCACTTTAAGCCGTAGGTCCCGATCCTAATAGGATCGTAGAGCGCTGCGGGGGCATTGTTACTCCGCATCCGTGGCTTACCATCAAGTTACACGCGCCTCCCGGGTAATGCAAAGTGAGTAACATCGGTGCAGCCATTATGGCGAAAGATCACGGTCTATTTGCCAGCTGTATTAGAAGAAGAAAAAAAAACAGATCTTAAAATAAGTTGAATTACAAATCCCATTTGCATTTGTAACAAATGAATGAAAGAGGCATGTTAATTGAAAAAATTAGTACGAGAATTAAATATATATAAACATTTTCTTGTTACTAATCCCCCTGGTGCAGGAAAGCCTACACCAGGTCCAAAGGACCCCATCGCAGGCGAAGTTCATGACTAAGGGTAATAGGCAGATTCACTTTTAGTGAGGAACCACGAGGGCTGAAGACTGATTAAACCTAAAAACAACGCTCTACGATCTTACTAGACTGGGACCTACGGTTTAAAGTGGATTCCGAACCACTACAAACATCCATGGCACCGTCGAGACTCGAACCCACAATTCGCTAGACACTCGGCCATTCAGGCCCCATATATATAATACTATTATTCAATGATATATTGATGATTTTACATATCTCATCCATGGTATGCTTAATATATCCATATAATGATATCAAAATAATCCATATAATAATTTTATGTATATTTACCAATATACGTAAAATCATTTCAAGGTTTTGGCAATATGAAACTTATATTTTCTATGTATTATTATAGTAAATATTTTTTTAAAAATTTTGAACTTTGTGCACTGAATTTTATTATGCGCATAGAATTAATTTATTAAAAAACCTTGTTACCATTTGACTTATATTTCGCTTAAAATTAAATTTTAAATTTTAAAATCATTTACTAAGTAAACTAAGACACACAAGAAATACTATCAAAAAGTAAAAAAATGATTTTTGAGGAATGTATGCTTAAAAGTGCAAAAGCAAGAAAATAATCACTAGAATAAAACTTTCTTTGATAGTCGACATTCGTCTTTTTCTTTACTTTTCCGTGAACTTAATTTATAATCTCAATTGCGCAATAGATAAACACTTCTTTCATCCGCTCTTGATTGCTGATCTTATCAGCTGCTTCCAGAATTGTAGTGCATAACGAGCTTGAAATGCTTCATTTTTCATCTGAATGAACAGGAGAAAGCTTCCATTATGCCCTTTAAAGAAGAAACTTTTACATTCATTTGGAAAATAGAAAATTTCAATTTTTCAACCAAGCGTGTCGGTGAGTCAATTATCAGTCCATGCTTTAAACTGCAATCGATGGACAAAACTAACTGGTACCTTAAATGCTATCCTAGAGGAGTTCGCAACAGACTTTTCATTGTAATTAAACTTCACAGAGGTGAAGATTCAGGACCAGAAACAATCGACATTGGTTTCAAAGCGTATGTCATTGCTTTTGATGGATCGTCACCATTTACTGAAGAAACAGAGTCAATATCCTTAGAAAAGGGCAACGAAATTAAAATTATACGTGAGCTACGAGATACGTTTCTCAATAGACCCAGAATATTATCAAATGGTGATACTTTAACCATATGTTGTGAAATATGGAAGCATTGTAAAGACAACATTACAATTAAACCGTCTTCTGTTATTGATAATAAATCACACTTTGGTGAAGATTTTCAAACTGTATATGAAGGAGTTTCCAAGGATTTTACAGGAATCAGTAAAATACAAGACTTGAATCCAGTTAAATTTTATGCAAAAACGCAAATGCAAGTGGAAAGGAAAACTTTTGTTTACCTCGTAAAGGACTTCAGTATCTTGCAAAAGCCGCATAATGAGTCTTTTACCATCTATTCTACTTCTGATCTAACACCAACATTGCTGTTGACAATCAATTTTTCTGAACATCTGAGCAAAACTGAATTTTATATTCGTCCACTTGTGAAAAAGTTGAATAGAAGTATTTTCTTAAAGTGTAATTTGGTTTTGACTCACAAAGAAATTCCACTTTCAGTAATCAGCTATGGGCATCTCTTTAATCCTTCTGAAACACTTGTCTGGAGGATAGCATTTGGCAATTGTAACTTTCCGGTAGAACAGAACTTGTGCTTCTCTGAGGACGAACTATCCTTGAGATTTGAGTTGGACATTTGCAATGGCACTGAAATTTCAAGCATAGAGAAAGTGATCTATGCAACTCCAGAAAAGGAGACTAAAAAGGACAACACCTTAATGGAGTATCTACTCAATTATTACAAGGAGCAAATATTTTGCGATGTTGAACTGCGAGTGGCAAACGAAACGGTGTCTGCACATAAAGCAGTTTTATGTTCTAGGTCAGCGGCCTTTAGAAAAATTTTCGAAAACGAGAGGGAAAGCAAACAGGCAAGAGTTGTTCGTATAGAAAATATTGATATACAAACTTTAAGAAATATGTTAGAGTTTATGTATTTAGAAACCTTTGAACATTTGGGATTTGAAGAAATTATGAAACTTTATTCAGCAGCTGTTATCTACGGATACGAAAACTTGAAGAAATCGTGTTTTTCTTTTTTGTCTTCTAATATGCAGTCGACTAATGTTTGTAAAATATTAAAACTTTCCAATTATCATAATGATGAAGAATTGAAAACCATTTCACTTGATTATATTCGACTGCATGCAAATGAAGTCCTTTCTTTAGGTGAATGGAAAACATTTGTTCTGGAAAATATCTTGTTAGCCAGTGAAACAATTGGATACATCTCTTCAGTGATACAAAAAGCATATTCATAAATAAATGAAATGTAAGTATAAAATGTTTTAATGCATTTCAATAGTAGATACATTAAATACATAAAATTCATTTATTTCCTTTCTCTTTATATTTTATTTCATAAACGAAGTCCAATATTTGCAAAGAAATTAGTTATTAAACTATTACTAAAATTTTTAAAAAATTTTATTCGTTATGAAATAATTATTAATATAAATAAAATATTAAATAAATAAATTTAAATATTTAAAATAATTATTCAAATATAATTTATGTTTATAAAGACTCCTATAAATTGCGAATTCATAAAAATTTCTTAATTTAAATTTAAATACTGTATAAAGAACTTTTTAAATATAAATAAAAATATAAGAACTACAGGACTTTTTTTAAATTTGTAATTATTAAATTTATAAATTATGTATTATTGAAAGTAATTTTTCATATTGCGCATGGATATGAGCAAATAAATAAATTGCAAATTATAATAAATTAATTGCAAGTATAAAATATTCTTATGTACTTCAATTTATCACAAAAATTTAAATATTAAAATATTTTTTTAAAAAATCATTTATTTTCTTTTTTTATATTTTTTATTTCATAAGAAATTAATTATTTTATAAGAAATTAATTATTAAATTATTAATATAATTTTAAAAAATTGTTTATTCGTTTTATGAAATTATTAATAGAATTAAAATATTAAATAAATAAAATATAACAATATTAAATAATATTTTAAATAATTGAATTAAATTTTAATTATTAAATTTATAAATTTTCTATTATTAGATGCACAAAAACTGAAAGTAATTTTTCAGATTTCTTTATATTTTGAGATAAATATATCAGGCGATGAGCAAATAAATGAATTGCAAGCATAAAATGTTCTTATGTATTTTAATTTATCATAAAAAAAAAGTTCATTTATTTTTTTTTCTATAAATTTTATTAATTAAACGAAGCCCAATATTTGCACTAAGAAATTAATTATTAAGCTATTAACATAATAAAAAACATTGTTTATTCGTTATAAAATAAATATTACTTAATTAAAATTTAATATTATTAAATAATTAATAATTTTAATTTAAATAATTAATTATTTAAATATAATTTAGGTTTAGAAATGCTCCTATAAATTGTGAATTCAAAAAAATATTTTAAAGTTAAATTTAAATACGAAAATAAAGAACTTTTAAAATATAAATAAAAATATAAGAACTATATGAGGTTTTTTTTTTTTTTTTTCTAATTTATATTTCATTAACAAATTCATAAAATGTTCTTATGTATTT